ACCGGTAAGTCTCCGCGGTTCCTCGTTCACCGCCGCGCCGCCTCCTCTCTTCCGTCCCGGTCAGATGAGGGCGAGAATGACTTCGCCGATTCGTCTGCACGTTTTAGTTATTCATGGTATAATAATGACGATAACGATAATAACAACGGTAATGATTACGTTTCTGAGACGGTCGGCTCTCTAACGAACGCTCTCTGTGTGGGAACCGGCTCGCTGGCTTATCGGCCGGACTAATCGGCACGCTCGTGGATAAATGTTTGTTATTAATTAGCGTTCGCTTGGATAAAATCCAAGATGGGAAATCGCGAGTGTAAATACCCGCGTGTCTGACGGATTAGTCTGCTTTAATTTCGTTTCGCTTCCTACTTTCTCTTCGAAAACCTTATCGGCTGGCAGTAATTCGTACATCTTTCATGGTTTTCATTTTAGCAGTACCCATAAGTAATATCTTTTTTTCTTTTTCTTCAAATTTAACGAACATTGTCATTTTCTACAGTATCGAAAAAAAACCGCATTACTTATCGTCGTTTTACCCCAATACATTGGTCTCGTAAAAGCCTCGATTTAACAGAATTTCACGCAAAATATCGGTCATCTCGCGGATCTCACGCTCCCAGTTTCCATTCGTGCTGCTTCGAAGAGCTCGAGCCCTGCTTCTTCAGCTCCTCTCGCGCGGCAAATAACCATCATCCACGTGTGCTCGTCTATGAAACAGCCTGTAGCCATGGCACGAGCATGAAAATACGGTAGCGGCGTTCTCGCGTGAACCAGATACATAGGCCCGAGGCCCGTCACAGTAAATTATCATTTTCATAGCGGCGTGCCGGTAATTTCGAAGCGGCAAGGCCTACGGCAAGCTACGGCCACTTACGTTGCACAGCGGTAAGAAGAAGAAGAAGAAGAAGAAGAAGAAGAAGAAGAAGAAGATCACCGTGGTACTCGCTTCGCGGTCCGTTCGCCGGAGATAAGAGAACCGCAAGCGGCGGATGCCATCGGCACGGATACGCTCCCGGGGGGCGTTATTTTTCGCGGTGACTTTCGCTGTCGGTAATCGGTCGGTAATCGTAAATCAGAACTAGGAAAAGGGGAGGCAGGGATGAACATTGCGCTCGCGCGAACGTCTTACAGGTGAAAGATGACCATCGGGGCTTTCTTGGCCAACGGTAACGAGAAGTCGCCGCCGGAGATTTAACCCTCGGGTCAAACGATGCCTCCCTTTTGCACCACAATGCGTAGCATCGGCATGAATCGACCTAGCTACCGCGAAATATTTAAATTTGCAATTTTATTGCTTATTGTGTATTGGATATATAGAACCAGAGGAATTTTTAGTAAAAAAAAAAAAAAAAAAATAATAATTTTGATGGAAGAAAATGCTATAATTGTCATTGGTTAGTTGTTTGATATCAATGCCACAATCGTTAAAAATTGCCTGCTATCAGTATCACAAACAGAATCCGGCGAAACAGCTACTCTGAATCGTCAGGCAGCCGCGATAATTATACATCAGCCAGCAAGATCGACGGTTCGATTACGATCGCTGATCGACAGCGTGTCGATGCCTCGGCAAAGTGGGCGTCGTGGCGAAAAGAAACAGCTACCCCGGAAGCGTGCAGTGACAATAATTCGCGGGGCGATCGGTCGCGGCAGATGCTAATCAACTTGACGTCACTCGACAGCTCCGGAGGCGGACAGGGAGCGTAGATGGACTAGCGTCTGGCCGCTGATCGATAGCAGCGGCTCGTCCGCGCAGAATGGTCGCGCTTAATGATCAGGTCGCTCGTCTTTAAATGAAGAGAGGAAAGGAGAAAAAGGAGAAAGACAAGCGAAAAGAAGAAATCCTTTGGCCGCGCTGAAATTGTCATGCCGTTATGCATATCACGCGCGTGTACGCATGCTGGCCTCGAATAACCTGGCATTACGATCGTCATGCAATTTTGTAATTAATTGTCCTTCGTCTGAATTTGATATTTCACGCGGAGCTGCGTGAAGTGTCTCTTACCGTTGTTCGACTCGCGCCGCGTGAAACCGCGACCACTGATACCGCGGCCGTATCCATATTCCTTCGATCAAATTCACGGTGCCGCGCCGCGGGTGGTAGCAACATCTGTCGCTGCCGGAATGCGAGGCTAATTGAACGACGAGTGTTCGACGGTGACGCGACCAGGATACAAACGCACATACACAGGGTGTATCTTCATCGATCAGTCAACCGCAGCAAGATCTTGATTATTCGAGCAAATTAATGATCGCGGGGAGGAACTGGAAATCGAATTCTTCGAACATATATTGAAATTTCATGAGGTTCCTTTTGCGTCACGAAGGAGGACGAACACGGTCGGAATAATTGCCATCCGGGTGAAAGTTCGAAATCTCTTATGGTCGCGTCAAGTATTTCGAGCTCGTTATTTACACGACTCGACCGTAGTTAAATCGCGCGCGGCTCTACTTCACTAGTGTCTGCCGCTGCGAAAAACAAGTCGAATTCTCTCCTCTCGAGAGAATTAAATTCGAGTCCTCCAATTATTCCGCACGTTTATCGAAAGTACTTTCAATCTCTCCTCTCGGAGAAGAAGAAACATCGTTTCAGTTTTTCCCTTTCGTTTCATCCGAGAAGCAAAACCCGATCGGTGAAAATATCTCGCAGAAGAAGAAAAAGAAGAAGAAGAAGAAAAAGTCCATTTTGCCTCGGTTGCCTGGGTAGCTTGCGCGACCAACGTGGAAAATGAAGTAGTTTTCTTCTCTGACAACGACAATCGTCGTTGGGGCCTGGAGCGTTCCGCGGCAGCGGCGCGGATCGGCAATAGCTGCGGCGGTCGTGCGAGCAACCAGCTTCGTTTCGTCGTGCAGGAGGGATCGGCCAGTGCATTATCCGTTAGACATGGCCCCCGCGCTGATATATTGACTTGGACAAAAAAGCGACTGTTCTTGCGCTCGCTGGCAAACTGCTGCTGCTGCCGCCGCCGCCGCCGCCGCCGCAAAGTCCTCCCCTCCGGCCTACGACAACCTCGCGTCTCGCTTTACAACGGCCACCGTTCATATCGAGCCTCCTATGCACCATTGCTGTACACGCATAACGACCAAGCACCGTGGACCAAGAACGATCTAACGTCTAATGGAGTTTCCTGTGCGCGCCGGCGTCTTTTCTTTCGGCGATTGGATTCACCTCCCTCGAGATTGGTTTCGCGCTGTCGTCCCTCTTTGTTCGACGAAGGAACGCAAACAGGCGAGCCAGACAAACAACGAACTAGCCTATGGGAGATAAGATTGGTGGAAGTGTATTATATGGAGCCATTGGCTAGATAAGGATGCTCCGGGGTAGCAACGTGCTTAGGTGAAATTGTAAATTACGCGACTTCTTTCCTTCGAGGTGAAGAAAGACCCCTTTCCTTTTGATGTTGATTCGATGGGGAGAACGGCGTTGTGACGGTCAGATGAATCGTAGGTTTTTTTCTGCTACTCGAGATCTTGATATCGGTCCGATTCGCTTGTCCAGTTCCTATTTGCAAAGAGAGCCTGTGTTTAGACCGACGTCGCTTTCTTTCAAAAGTTGAATTATCGCTTTAAATGCCAAGAACTGTCAAAGAAATGATTATTTTGAAGAAAAACAGTCCGCACTGTTGTTGTTGCTTTAAAAAAAAAAAAAAAAAAAATATCAGCTTTCGAATTAGCTTTGATTCAACGTTCAGCGTGGAACTTCGTGGTATTGTCTACGATCCAAACAGTTCGTGAAGAATATCACGAGGGAACGAAGAAATTACGGGGGAGAAAAGAGGAGAGGAAAAAAGCACAGGCTAGAAAGAAACACGCCGGCATGTGGGAGGGAGGGAGGGAGGGAGGACAGCGAAGATATAGGGGAGCAAGAAATATAATCGCATGGCTAGCGCGATAGCGGTAGACCACTGGCTCGTATGGGGACGAGGAACCTATTATAGCAGGAGCGAGAGTAAAAGAGTCAGGACAGGTGAGATAATCAACCTGCAGCCATAGCTGCGAGCAGCCTCGTGGTAATCACTATTCGCGCGCCGTGTGTGTCTTTTAATACTCGTATGACTCGCATCGCCGCGTCGTGTGTTCCAGCGTGTTGTTTGAAAGTTTCCTTGCCAACAGCCTTCGACTACTGTAATATCGATAGCTGTGGTTTCCCTTGGCAACGGCCGATTAGGTGGCTCGTTGCACCGATTCTCGTCTCGTCTCGTCTCGTCTCGTCTCG